GCGTCGCGAACCACGTGACCAAGCCCATATGGCGGCATCATTACGGCTAGATATCCACTCTGGTTCCTTTCTCTCCGCATCGAGGACTTAGACCAAAGCTACGGAAAGAGTGGGGTGGTTGGGGGGACCCGGAGTCTATGGCGGGTTTTCTGAGCAAACAGAAAAATTATGAAAGTCTCTTCCCAGTCCAGGATGAAAACACTCAACAATAATCACTCAACACCCTAGTTAAGACCCAAAAAGGGTGGTGTCTTACCTTGCCTGTGCTGTCCCGGAGCAGGAGGCCAAATGGCTGCTGCAGTGACAGGGTTCGGTGTGCCTGAGAAAGCTAGCCCCAAACCCAATTCCGGGGGTAGTAGGCTTTAGTAGACCAAAAAAGTTTTGCACAAGGGCATAGGTCAGGTAGCGAAACCTGGGAAATTTCAGGGAGTGCTGTTGGTATAGAAATCTGTCTGCAAAAATGCTGAGACTGACTTATCGCCTATGTGCAGGGACCCTCGAGGTCGTTCAGGCTGGGTCAGCAAACCAAGTCTGACACGCTACGACGAGACCCAATCTGAAGAGACCCTCCTCAATGGATTGGGTGTCTCTTAGGTAGTAGTTGATAAAGACGTTCTGTGTTCTCCAGAAGCCTGCCCTCAGTGTGTGTTCGAGGGGGACGCCTGACGCTAGCACTAGTGAGTTAGCAATCGCACAGACCTCATGCGCTTGTACTTGGTGTCTCTGCAAGCTCTGTGTAGAGGAAGTTAAAGTATTATAGACCTCTAATATAGTCGCAGTAATCCACCTGGTGATGGAAGTTGGGGAGGCCGGCCTATCCTGTCTGCCTGGGCCGTAACACAGAGACATGTGCTTGGCACCCCACCTGAATCCTTAGTACAGTTTTGGTAGCAACTCCGTGCGTGAACCGGGCAGAGAAGCAATTCCAAGTGATCCTCCGGGCCGACACTATTTGATAGCCGGGGAGTGATGATCGGTTGATTGTTGGCGAGAAAGCCGATTTGTGTCTTTAGCACAACTTGATCGTCCATAAAGGTGGTCCACCCGTCTGAGAAAGACAGTGCGCCTAATTCTGACCGACACCTACCTGAGGCAAGGGCCAGTAGAAAGACTATTTTCCACATCAAAAGTTTGAGTGGAGCTGAACAGAGAGGCTCAAAGGCCAGTCTGCTAAGAGCGGACAACATAAACTGACAAATCCCAGTTGGGCGGTTCTCTTGTACGGGGTCTCGGTGTCTGGAAAGCAGTAAATTGCCCCCTAATAATAGAACAATCGGCTAGTCTTGTTCCCGAAATGTTCTCAATTGTGGGGGACAAGGCCTCCTGAAGCCAACGATCGCTGCATAGGACAAACCCACTTCATCAAACAGGTGGACAAAGCAGTCTGCTACCTGGCCAATAGAGGGATGGTATGGATCAATCTCCCTTCTGCTACACCAATCAGTGTATGCTCGCAACCTAGAAATGTAGGCCGTGTTAGTTGAATCCCTGTTCGCCCTGGCCAGGACGTTGGCAGCCCGCTCAGATAAAGATTTTGTATGTGCGGGTCTACTGAGAGCCTCTATGTGTGTAAGTGATACCCTCTGGGCTGGTTGGTAGTGCGACGTCCGGTTAGGACAGCAGGTCCGGTAAGCCCAGAAGCATTACTGGTGTTTTGACTAGCATTTCCACAGAAGTGGAAACTAGGTCTTGGTTGGCCAATTGGGTGTGACTAATTACAATATGCAGGTGTGCACCTGTTGAAGTTTTCTCCAGTGCCCGGTGAACTAGCGGGAAGAAAGGAAAGGCGTACACAACTAAGTGGGTCCACGGGGTTAGCAAAGCGACCCTGGCCCAGACTCCTGGAGTCGGCAAGGAGTGCTATGTACGTTGTGAACTTGGCATTTCAGGGTACAGCAAACTGGTCTATCTTTGGGCCGTCCCACAGCCGAAACAGCCTGGAGGCTACCCACTGGGGTATCAGCCACTCAGTGTTCTGGAGACGTAGCCACCCTGAAAGGGCATCTGCTAGACTGTTCCTCACCCCTGGAAGGTGGTGTACGGTTAGCTCCATATTGGATTCCAGGTACCAAAGAAGAATTTGCTCCACTAGGACAGACGACAATGGAGACCACCGCTGCGTTGCCTGTGCGGAGCAGAACTCTGTGGTCTGTGGACTCTGTGCTAAGTGCACTGCTTTTAGTTCGAGCCGGTGTATATGGTGGTCCCGAAACTAATACGGGGGGCCATATCCTTGGGCTTGTTCGTCCAATAGGTGTGCTCCCCAACCTTGGGGGAGGCATCCGTTACCAGAGTCATACGTGCGGTGAGTGGTTCCAAAAGCGCCTCCTGTCCGAGGTTGGCCAGTGATGACCACCAGGACAGGGCTTCCTTCACTTGGTCCGAGATCAAAACCCACCTATCTAGTTCCCATAGGAGAGCTTGGGTTATAACAACAAGCGTTGTACCAGGCGGCTGCGTAGTGTGACCTTAGGAACCACCCTTCGAACCGAGGTCATCATTCCGATGATCCGCATAGTTCTCTGAGGGACACTGAGGGAACGCTAACTAGGCATTCGGCTAGGCTGCTTAGCGCTATGGAACATGCTTGAAATAGCTACATCAAGCCTACCTCTGTGTCGAACTCCATGCCCAGGAACACCAACTGTGCATTGGGTCAAGATGGGACTTGTAGATTTACTAACAAGCCCACCTGGTGAAGTAAATCCTGTGTTAGCCTGACGTGTTTGGCTAATAACCCCTTGTCTGGGCCGTGTAGTAACCAGTCGTCTAGGTACGGATTGAGGTGTACCGACATTTGGTGAAGCAGCAGCACTACCTGTTTCATCACTCTGGTGAACACGTAGGGCGCTGTGCATAACCCGAATGAGGGGCACCCAAAATTCAAATACTTGGCCCAGCTGGGCAATTCAAAGGAGATGGCAACTTGCTGGGTGCATCGGTATGTGCAGGTAGGTCCCGTTAAGTCTAGTGGGGCTAGCCAGTCGAAACGGTGGATGGAGAGAAGACGCTGAATGGCGGAAACGATCAAGGAGCACATACTGATTCAGTCTGCCTAGGACCAAAACTGGACACCCGCCATCTGTAGATTTGGTACTACGAACACATTTAGGTAGAAGCCGGCTGATCTTTCCTGTGTATGGCGCCCTTTTCCAACAAACTGCTACTTCCTGTCTGATTAGGGAAGGGAGACACTGACGGGGGGAGATGGGGATTACAGCGGTATCCTGTAACAGAATGTCACCACCTGGAAAGGTCCAGGGTTGGTCACCCGCTGTCTCCAAGCCGGACTACACCAGCGCAATCTGTGTACAACAGGGATATGTGGCCATGGGTTCAGCAGTTACGAGGGGTGGGTGCTCTCTTCTCCCATGAGGTGAGTTTCCCCAAGTCCTAAAGTAGTCACTAAGTTGTACCCTGGCCAGTCGTCGAACACATGCCTGTCCCCTCGGTCGCAGAGGTAAGCGT